CAGCGATATGCATGAATGGTTCCAGAGAAGTCTGAAGCGTGACGGCAAGTACACGGACTTTTACATCTGGCACGACGGCAAGCTGGCGGCAAACGGCACGAGACTGCCGCCTAACAACTGGGTAAGGTCACTTGACCTCTAGAGACTAGAGACCTTTGGCTCTTGTATGAGCCACTTATCATCTAAGAGCCATTAAATGAGCCATCCATTACCTAAGAGCCATTAAATGAGCCACCCATTGTTCCACAGCTCAGCAACTTCGGCGGCTCCGCCTGGACGTGGCGCGAGGAGCGACAACAATTTTTCTTCCACCAATTTCTGCCGGAACAGCCGGACCTCAACTACAGGAACCCAGAGGTCAGGGAGGAAGTTATGGTAAGCCGTTTGGTCAGATTTTTTAAATATTGTCTCGGGAACTATGATAAGCCGTGTAGTCAGATTTTTTAAATATGTTACGGGGAAATATGGTGTTTGGTCTAATTTTTAAAATATGCTCCGGGAAACTATGGTAAGCCGTATTTGTCAAGTTAAAGGTTTAATTTTAAAGTCCATGTGAAAGTATGCTAAGCCATTGTGTGAAATCTAGAAAATATATAAAAAATAAAAGCTAGTTGCATGTGTCGGGCCAATAGAGGAACAAAATGAAGTTTTAAAAAAAATATTATGTGTCTTTTCTTTTAACATCTTGTCTGCCCATCCTGTCTGTCAAACCATCCTGTCTAACCACCCTGTCTCACCATCCTAACCACCCTGTCTAACCACCCCATGTTTCCAGCTGATCATCCGCTACTGGTTGGACCAGGGAATAGACGGGATCAGGATGGACGCCATCTCTAGCCTGTACGAGGCCCAGAACTTGACAGACAACCCACCCTCGGGCAAACCTGTGCCAGCGGTTGGTGCTTGACGTATTGTGATTCTATTGGTGAAGCTAAGCCTCTGGGTTTAGAATGGGGGGGGGGGGGGGGGCTAAAGATATAAATAGACTGAGAGGGATAATCCCCTGGATATCCTGAGATCAAGCCACAGCCTACCGTTTTATTAAGCCACCAAAAAACCAATAAAAGAAATTACAACTCCTTCCCCCCCCCCTTTTTTTTTTAAAGCTACTACCTAATTCCGTCTATATTTTTGGCCATTGTTAGCGATAGTTTCTGGCCATTGCTAACATTAGTAGTTGGCCTTGTTTTGAATCCCCCCCCCCACACATAAAATGTTCCCCATCTGTTCCCCCCATGAAATGGTCCCCCATAAAATGTTCCCCCATCTGTTCCCACATAAAATGTTCCCCATCTGTTCCCCCCATGAAATGGTCCCCCATAAAATGTTCCCCCATCTGTTCCCACATAAAATGTTCCCCATCTGTTCCCCCCATGAAATGGTCCCCCCATAAAATGTTCCCCCATCTGTTCCCACATAAAATGTTCCCCCATCTGTTCCCCCCATCAAATGTTCCCCCACATGAAATGTTCCCCATCTGTTCCCCACATGAAATGTTCCCCATCTGTTCCCCACATGAAATGTTCCCCATCTGTTCCCCACATGAAATGTTCCCCATCTGTTCCCCTGACCAGGACGACTGGTTCTCGCTGATCCCCCAGTACACTGACCTACAGCCGGAGCTTAAAGACGAGCTGATCCGTTGGCAGAGCGTGTTTGACAGCTTGGATAAACTCGACGGGAAAGAAAGGTATGTCAACTGACATGTCATCTAGAGTAGGTTATCTGACATGTCATTTATAGTAGGTCATCTGACATCTCATCTAGAGTAGGTCATCTGACATGTCATCGGGAGTAGGTCATCTGACATGTCATCGGGAGTAGGTCATCTGACATGTCATCAAAAGTAGGTCAACTGACATGTCATCAAAAGTAGGTCAACTGGCATGTCATCTAGAGTAGGTCAACTGACGTGTCATTAAGTACCTGCCCACACCTTTTTGTCCTCACCAAATTACCTGACAACACCTAACTACCTGCCCACACACCTAACTACCTGCCCTCACTACCTGCCCACACAGCTAACTACCTGCCCTCACTACCTGCCCACACAGCTAACTACCTGCCTCACTACCTGCCCTAACTACCTTCCCTAACTACCTGCCCTCACTACCTGCCCACACAGCTAACTACCTGCCTCACTACCTGCCCTAACTACCTTCCCTAACTACCTGCCCTCACTACCTGCCCACAGGTTTATGGTGCTGGAGGTGTATACCAACTCAGACGAGCGGGCCAAGATGGCGGAGTTTGGTGCCCACCCCTTCAACATGGACATGGTCGACAGTCTGCAGGTGCCGCTCTCTGGCAGGCAGATCATGGCCTTCATCGCGCCGGAGTACAAGAACAAACCGGCGGCCTATTGGCCAAGTTTTGTGGTGAGTGGCCTGTTGGCCAAGTTTCGTGGTGAGTGGCCAGTGGCCTGTTGGTCAACTTTCGTGGTGAGTGGCCAGTTGGCCAAGTTTTGTGGTAAGTGGCCAGTAGCCTATTGGCCAAGTTTTGTGGTGAGTGGCCAGTGGCCTATTGGCCAAGTTTTGTGGTGAGTGACCAGTGGCCTATTGGCCAAGTTTGTGGTGAGTGGCCAGTGGCCTATTGGCCAAGTTTCGTGGTGAGTGGCCAGTAGCCTATTGGCCAAGTTTTGTAGCGAGTGGCCAGTAGCCTATTGGCCAAGTTTTGTGGCGAGTGGCCAGTAGCCTATTGGCCAAGTTTTGTGGTAAGTGGCCAGTGGCCTGTTGGCCAAGTTTTGTGGTGAGTGGCCAGTGGCCTGTTGGCCAAGTGACAAGAGGCCTTCTGGCCAAGCTTCGTACTATGATTTTAGTTTGACACAATTCTGTGTTGACAGAGTAAAAAGTGAATAGAGAATTTATTTCCGGGAACTTTCAGGTCGGCAACCACGACCGTAAGAGGGTGGCCAACAAATATGGCCGGCAACTGATCAACGCCTTCAACCTGCTGTTGATGACGCTGAAGGGCACGCCCACAACTTACTACGGCGAGGAGATCGGCATGGAGGAGATAACTCTCACATATGAGCAATCTCAGGACCCGTGGGCCATCAACGCTGGCCCGGTCAGTAGGGCCATGGTGGTTGTGAGGGGTTGGGAGCCGTTAAGTCTGGCTATTGGGGTGGTGAGGGGTGGGGTGTGCAGGGAGAGTTATGTCTGTGCACCAAAATGTATCAAAGGCTGGTAAACTCTAGCATGAAAGTTTGGCCTCAACTTGGAGTGAGCACGGTTTGATCAAGACGATCACGTGTGCACACCAAAGGTCAGGGGTTAGCTGCAGGTGTAAACGTTAGAAATAAATCTAAAGTTGGGTCTGGGCGAGAGGTGTGTTGGAAAAACTGGAGTCTACCGGCGGTGTCATCATTACCCCACCCCAACCCCTAACATTTTGTCACATGTCATCAAAAGTAGGTCATCTCACATGTCATCAAAAGTAGGTCATCTCACATGTCATCTAGAGTAGGTCATCTCACATGTCATCAAAAGTAGGTCATCTCACATGTCATCAAAAGTAGGTCATCTCACATGTCATCAAAAGTAGGTCATCTCACATGTCATCCCCCCTCCCACCTCCCCTCCCTTGACACCAACGTGTCACAACCTCTGACCTGTAAACCACGTGATTCCCTCCCCAGGACCGCTACTTGAGTGTGTCCAGAGACCTGGTCCGGTCCCCCATGCAGTGGTCAGCAGACAGCCAGGCCGGGTTTACCAACGGCTCGAAGCCCTGGCTGCCTGTACAGGCCAACTACACTCTCCTCAACGTCGAGGTACGTTCAGTGACTCGCTATAACGTCGAGGTACGTTTAGTGATTTGCTATAACGTCGAGGTACGTTCAGTGACTCGCTATAACGTCGAGGTACGTTTAGTGATTTGCTATAACGTCGAGGTACGTTCAGTGACTCGCTATAACGTCGAGGTACAGGACAACTACACTCTCATCAACGTAGAGGTAAGTTCAATGACTCGCTATAACGTCGAGGTACAGGCCAACTACACTCTCCTCAACGTCGAGGTAAGTTCAATGACTCGCAATAACGTCGATGTAGTTCAGTGACTCGCTATAACGTCGAGGTAAGTTCAATGACTCGCTATAACGTCGAGGTACAGGCCAACTACACTCTCCTCAACGTCGAGGTACGTTCAATGACTCGCTATAAAGTCGAGGTAAGTTCAGTGACTCGCTATAACGTCGAGGTACAGGCCAACTACGCTCTCCTCAACGTCGAGGTAAGTTCAATGACTCGCTATAACGTCGAGGTATGTTCAATGACTCGCTATAACGTCGAGGTAAATTCAATGACTCGCTATAACGTCGAGGTACGTCAAATAGTTCGAGGCCAGTTCCCTGATCAAATTCCTATTTGAAACCAGCTTGTCTTGAGACGGAATGAGTTTCTCTTTATGGCTGAGAATGTTCTGTTTTTACCCCCCCCCCCCCTCCTCCGACTGAGAATGTTTTGTCTTCAACCCCCCCACCCCACCCCCCACTGAGAATGTTCTGACTTTACCCCCAGACTGAGAAAGCTGACCCCCACCCCCACCTGTCTGTTTTAACCCCCAGACTGACCCCCACCCCCCTGAGAATGTTCTGTCTTTACCACCAGACTGAGAAAGCTGACCCCCAGTCCCACCTGAACCTGTACAAAGAGTACGTCGCCCTCAGACAACTGGACGCCTTCAAGTTTGGCGACATCAACGTCGATGTGGTCACCAACGACAACATCCTGTCCTACACCAGATCTTTCGGGTAAGATTTTCTGTTGTCTCGCTCAAATGGTGGCTGTTGATTGGCTATTGTAACTGTTGGCTACTGGATTCTAGAAAAAAAAGTCACAGGAAAAAAGTCACAAGAAAAAAGTCACAGGAAAAAAGTCACTGGAAAAAAGTCACAGGAAAAAAGTCACAGGAAAAAAGTCACAGGAAAAAAAGTCACAGGAAAAAAAAGTCACAGGAAAAAAAACACAGGAAAAAAACCACAGAAAAAAAGTCACATGAAAAAAAGTCACATGAAAAAAAGTCACAGGAAAAAAGTCACATGAAAAAAAGTCACAGGAAAAAAGTAACAGGAAAAAAAAACACAGGAAAAAACCACAGAAATAAACCGGGAGTGATCTCCCCTAAACTTTCTCGAATATTCTTATATAAAACAACAGGGGATGGGAACTCGGGCTATAGAGATGATTTTTAATCCATTTTAAATACTTAAAGTTTTAAAAATAGAATAAAATCTCGTAGACAAAAGAATTGCACACCAAGTGAACGCCAAATAAAAAAGTGCATAATAGTGCGCAATATTATTAGTACTTTAAAAATTTACATTAGTTTTTTGAGAAATCCGAAGTAGCGTAAATTACTACTTCCATTCAACGGAAATTACTCAAAATTTAACAGGAGGTAGAGAATTAGATCTTTTACTTACATGTGAAATTTCATTTATCTATCTGAAATCGTACTCAAGTTATAGGCTTTTGAAAAATTCAAAGTAGAAAAAGTACCACTTCCGGTTATCTCAAATCGCTCAAAAGTTGATACGGATCTACGATTTTGATAAAATACTTTTATATGAAATTTCATCAACCTAGCTGTAACGGTACTCAAGTTATCGTGTTTACACACGGACACACACACACACAGACATACGGACAGAATTGCAAACCCCAGTTTTTTAGACTGGATTACGCATAAAACCTCTTAATTTTTATAAATCTGGATTGATAATTTTTGCCCGATTAAAATAAGTCCTCTATACTTCGGATGTGATGAAAGACTGAGGTGTAATACGGTGAAAATTGTTAAAATTTCTAGTGATTTTTGTGCACGATTACAATACTTTCTCTATACTTCGTATATACGAGAAAGTAAAAAAGTCACATGAAAAAAGTCACATGAAAAAAAGTCACAGGAAAAAAGTCACAGGAAAAAAAGTCCTAACATTTGTCCTACCATTTGTACTACCATTTGTCCTAACATTTGTCCTAACATTTGTCCTAACATTTGTCCTACCATTTGTCCTAACATTTGTCCTACCATTTGTCCTAACATTTGTCCTAACATTTGTCCTAACATTTGTCATACCATTTGTCCTACCATTTGTCCTAACATTTGTCCTAACTTTTGTCCTAAAATTTGTCATAACATTTGTCCTAACATTTGTCCTACCATTTGTCCTACCATTTGTCCTAACATTTGTCCTAAACTTTGTCCTAACATTTCTCCATTTGTCCTACCATTTGTCCTACCATTTGTCCTACCATTTGTCCTAACATTTGTCCTAACATTTGTTTTAACAGTCGTCCTACGATTTATCCTAACATTTGTCCTACCATTTGTCCCAACAATTGTCCTAACATTTGTCCTAACATTTGTCCTAAGATTTGTCCTAACATTTGTCCTACCATTTGTCCTAACATTTGTCCCAAAATTTGTCCTAACATTTGTCCTAACATTTGTCCCAACAATTGTCCTAACATTTGTCCTAACATTTGTCCTAACATTTGTCCTCTTGCAGGTCCGCGCGTTACCTAGTGGCCATCAACTTCGGCCAAAGTCCGTCAACAGACGACTACAGCGTCGTCAACTCGGCCTCTGGCACTGTGGTCAGCAACACCGGAAACGTCGACACGTCACTCAGCAAGGGGTCAGGGGTCACGCTCAGCCAGTTGACCTTGAACCCTGGAGATGGTGTCGTCATCAAGTTATAAATTTGTCACAACTTTTTTTAAAATTATCATTTTAAAATGTCATTAAACAATTTCCATCTACTTTGTACTGTGCATTTTCTATAACGGCATTAACCTCTCATTTTTATTTGGGGGGAAGGAGGGGGTGGAGGGGAAAGTGGGAGAGTTTTCTTATCTGTCGTGTCTGTCTGTCGTGTCTGTCTGTCGTGTCTGTCTGTCGTGTCTGTCTGTCGTGTTTGTCTATCGACAGCTGAAAGATAAGCTAGCTCGTTTATCTGGCTACTGGCTACATTAGTAGGTCAAATCGTTTATCTGGCTACTGGCTACATTAGTAGGTCAACTCGTCTGGCTACTGGCTACATTAGTAGGTCAACTCGTTTATCTGGCTACTGGCTACATTAGTAGGTCAAATCGTTTATCTGGCTACTGGCTACATTAGTAGGTCAAATCGTTTGTCTGGGTTACTGGCTACATTAGTAGGTCAACTCGTTTATCTGGCTACTGGCTAAATTAGTAGGTCAAATCGTTTATCTGGCTATTGGCTACATTAGTAGGTCAACTCGTTTATCTGGCTACTGGCTACATTAGTAGGTCAACTCGTTTATCTGGCTACTGGCTACATTGGTAGGTCAACTCGTTTATCTGGCTACTGGCTACATGAGTAGGTCACTTGAAACGGGAAATTCCCACTGAGAGCAACAATTACATTCGCGAACTAATTAGTTTAATTATATTAGAAAGCTACAGCGTATTTGATTTCGTCTTCAACGCTTACAGAAACTAAATGAAACATTTTTACCGATGTTTGACGTCTTTAGCAGGTAAGGAATTTCACAAGTGACGTCTTCAGATGGTGATGTTTTATTTTAAAAGTAGACGTCTTTTTCAAGGAGATATTCAAACAGTGACGTCTTTGACTAAGATGTATTTACAATCTGACATCTTTGTCCATCGACGTCTAAAAAAATTCTACCCCACTTAGGGGGGTTGGGAGTGGCAATGGTAAAGTAGAAATTAGTTTACGGATGGTGGTGTTATTTTCCTTCAAAAATCATTAAGTACATAAACAAGATGTTTGTAAATGCTGAAATGTTAAGTCGCAGTAGGAATTTTTTTAATTTTACTAATTGAATGAAACTTCGCGATGTACTAGTTAGAGACTGAACGTGTTGACTGTGTAGTTGTTAAGTCAAAAAGTGGTCAGCACAACTCAGCACACAGCATAAAGACACACACACACGTGAATGTGTGTTTTACAGTCACGTGACTGTGTCACCACACACAACCCCACAACCCACTTACAACAACCGACTTCTCCCCTGCACTTTAAGCATTCTGTAGCGAACGATCAGGCATGCAGATCTAAGCCGGTCAGACAGATAAGCTCCCAGCTCCAAGGTCAGACAGATAAGCTCCCAGCTTCAAGGTCAGACAGATAAGCTCCCAGCTCCAACAGTTTTGTTCGCACCATGCACATGACGATGATGCGGCTATTTAAGCTCTGTGTTCTAAATATAGTTCTGGTCGCGGGGTTACATGGGTTCCTCGTGGACGACCCCGACCCGACCCCACCCCCCATGGAGTGGTGGAAGCAGACGGTCATCTACCAGATCTACCCCAGGTCATTCAAGGACTCAAACGGTGACGGCGTCGGTGACCTTCAAGGTAAGACAGGTGACCTTCAAGGTAAGACAGGTGACCTTCAAGGTACGAAAGTAAAGGTAAGAAATGTGACCTTCAAGGTAAGACAGGTGACCTTCAAGATAAGACAGGTGACCTTCAAGGTAAGACAGGTGACCTTCAAGGTAAGACAGGTGACCTTCAATGTAAGACAGGTGACCTTCAAAGTAAGACAGGCGACCTTCAAGGTAAGACAGGCGACCTTCAAGGTAAGACAGGTGACCTTCAAGGTAAGACAGGCGACCTTCAAGGTAAGACAGGTGACCTTCAAGGTAAGACAGGTGACCTTCAAGGTAAGACAGGTGACCTTCAAGGTAAGACATGTGACCTTCAATTTAAGACAGGTGACCTTTATGACAGGTCACAGTAAAGGTAAGACTAAAACACCAGTGATTTAAAAATTCTAATCAAGCTAATTATTCCCCTCCCCCCAGGCATCATCTCCCAGCTGCCTTACTTCAAGTACGTGGGGGTGGAGACACTTTGGATCAGTCCATTTTACAAGTCACCCCAGAAAGATTTTGGTTATGACATCAGCGATCAAAAAGATGTTGACCCCATTTTCGGTGACATTCATGACTTTAGGACTTTGGTGGCAGAGGCCAAGAAACTGGGTAAGTCATAAGTCATGTCATAAGTCATGTCATAAGTCATGTCATAAGTCATGTCATAAGTCATGTCATAAGTCATGTCATAAGTCATGTCATAAGTCATGTCATAAGTCATGTCATAAGTCATGTCATGAGTCATTTCATAAGTTATGGCAAAGTTTAGGTCTGAAAATCTTGTATGACTTTGTCTTATTCTGAGGATCTTGTGTGACTTTGAAGATCTTGTGTGACTTTGTCTAGGTCTGAGGATCTTGTGTGACTTTGAAGATCTTGTGTGACTTTGTCTAGGCCTGAAGATCTTGTGTGACTTTGTCTAGGTCTGAAGATCTTGTGTGACTTTGAAGATCTTGTGTGACTTTGTCTAGGTCTGAAGATCTTGTATGACTTTGAAGATCTTGTGTGACTTGGTCTAGGTCTGAAGATCTTGTATGACTTTGAAGATCTTGTGTGACTTTGTCTAGGTATGAGGATCTTGTATGACTTTGAAGATCTTGTGTGACTTTGTTTAGGTCTGAAGATCTTGTGTGACTTTGAAGATCTTGTGTGACTTTGAAGATCTTGTGTGACTTTGTCTAGGTCTGAAGATCTTGTGTGACTCTGTCTAGGTATGAGGATCTTGTATGACTTTGAAGATCTTGTGTGACTTTGTTTAGGTCTGAGGATCTTGTGTGACTTTGAAGATCTTGTGTGACTTTGTTTAGGTCTGAAGATCTTGTGTGACTTTGAAGATCTTGTGTGACTTTGTCTAGGTCTGAGGATCTTGTGTGACTTTGAAAATCTTGTGTGACTTTGTCTAGGTCTGAAGATCTTGTGTGACTTTGTCTAGGTCTAAAGATCTTGTGTGACTTTGTCTAGGTCTGAGGATCTTGTGTGACTTTGTCTAGGTCTAAGGATCTTATGTGACTTTGTCTAGGTCTGAGGATCTTGTGTGACTTTGTCTAGGTCTGAAGATCTTGTGTGACTTTGTCTAGGTCTGAGGATCTTGTGTGACTTTGTCTAGGTCTGAGGATCTTGTGTGACTTTGAAGATCTTGTGTGACGTTGTCTAGGTCTGAGGATCTTGTGTGACTTTGAAGATCTTGTGTGACTTTGAAGATCTTGTGTGACTTTGTCTAGGTCTGAGGATCTTGTGTGACTTTGAAGATCTTGTGTGACGTTGTCTAGGTCTGAGGATCTTGTGTGACTTTGAAGATCTTATGTGACTTTGAAGATCTTGTGTGACTTTGTCTAGGTCTGAGGATCTTGTGTGACTTTGAAGATCTTGTGTGACTTTGAAGATCTTGTGTGACCTTGAAGATCTTGTGTGACTTTGTCTAGGTCTGAGGATCTTGTGTGACTTTGAAGATCTTGTGTGACTTTGAAGATCTTGTGTGACTTTGTCTAGGTCTGAGGATCTTGTGTGACTTTGTGCCGAACCACACCAGCGATATGCATGAATGGTTCCAGAGAAGTCTGAAGCGTGACGGCAAGTACACGGACTTTTACATCTGGCACGACGGCAAGCTGGCGGCAAACGGCACGAGACTGCCGCCTAACAACTGGGTAAGGTCACTTGACCTCTAGAGACTAAGAGAAAACTGTGAAGTTGGTTCTGTGACTTTCCGGCTACAGGACATTACCCCCTGGATATTCCCCCCCCCCGGACATTCCCCCCCCGTATTTACCCCCGGAGCAATTACCCCCCTGTCAATTACCCCCTGTCAACTATCCCCCTGTCAATTACCCCCCCCCCCCCCCCGGGGAATTACACCCCCTCCCCCTCCTCTCAAGTTAAAATCCTAACTCTAACTAGAATTTTATACCTATATACAACTTTAATCCAAACCTTAAGAAAAAGACCAAAACCTAAGCATCCACCTTAGCCTAAAACTTCACACAAAACCAAAACCAAAGCTAGACACAACCCTAACCCTAACACTAGCTCTAACCCTAACCCTAGCCCTAACCCTAAACCTAAACCTAGCCCTAGCCCTAACCCTAACCCTAACCCTAACCCTAAAACCTAACCCTAACCCTAACCCTAGCCCTAACCCTAACCCTAACCCTAACCCTAGCCCTAAAACCTAACCCTAACCTTAACCCTAACCCTAGCCCTAACCCTAAAACCTAACCCTAACGCTAACCCTAGCCCTAGCCCTAACCCTAACCCTAACCCTAGCCCTAAAACCTAACCCTACCCCTAACCCTAGCCCTACCCTTAGCCCTAACCCTAACCCTAACCCTAACCCTAACCCTAACCCTAACCCTAGCCCTAAACCTAACCCTAAACCTATCCCTAACCCTAACTCTAACCCTGTCGGGGGGGGGGGGGGGTAATGTCCTACTGGGCGGGGGGTAATTGACTGGGGGGTAATTGACAGGGGGGTAATTGACAGGGGGGGTAATTACTCTGGGGGTAATGTCGGGGGGAAATATCCGGGGGGTAATTGACAGGGGGGAAATGCCCTGTTACCGACTTTCCATACTCTGTGACGTTAGATAGACATGCCTTCATATCCTCACCTTGTGCATGCAACAATTAAATCCATCATCAGCCTAGCGCTTAAACAAGGGCCCTTGTATGAGCCATATGACAAGATAGGGCTCTTGCCCTTTTCTAGATGCAGAGGCGTAGCGACCCTTCCCGGCGCCCGGGGACAAACTTTTCGATTTGCACCCCCCCCCCCTCGAGATTTTGATTTGCACCCCCCCCTCAAACTTTCAATTTGCACCCCCCCCTCCCCTCGAGATTTTGATTTGCACCCCCCCCTCAAACTTTCAATTTGCACCCCCCCCCCTCGAGATTTTGATT